ATAGTTGAGTCGAAGAATACATTCTCTCTCTCTCTCTCTCTCTCTAACTCTCTCTCTCTCTCTCTCTATCTCTCTCTCTCTCTCTCTCTCTCTCTATCTCTCTCTCTCTATCTCACCCGCGCGCGCATCTGTTTAGTAGTGTTTACACACAACACACATACGCCAGCTATAACTTGAACAATTGAGGAAACTAAACTAATACACACACACATTCCCAAATGCACCTGAAATACACACGGTCAAAAAAATCCCCTGCGAATGAAACTTTTCTTGCCTACTCTTCTTATCTTATCACAAACGTCGTGTTTCACGACTGTTCAGAATCTGGCTCAGGGATTAAGAACACGATGGCCACAACTCTTACTATGTAACCCAGATTACTCTGTAGCGGCGAAGAGCGTTGTCGCCAGTGTACATTGCAGACTATTTTCCAAAAATCCCTTTTTAACACGTGCATATGGTTTGATATACAGTCGAACCTGCCTTAACGGAAACCTGTATAGAACGGAAACTTGTCTAAACGGATTCTCCCCGCTCCGCCCTTGATAAATTCCTCTTTATTAATTACCTGTTTAAAACGGAAACCTGTCTAGCGCGGAAACGGAAAGAAAAATCCGCTCCCTTCCGATGACTTTTACCTGACTGAAACGGAAAATGCTTTACCCTAGGCTTTCTCAGTCCTAGGCTTTACCCAATCAGTCCTGATTTGAAAAATAAAGTGTCAAGTTTGATTACATCGGCTCTAATCTTTACCGACACCATGCCGCCAGGCGAGAAGGGGAGTAGGGGTGCAATTTGAGGGAGCCAACGCAAAGCTGGCGTTGATGTGAGCCCAAGGAGATTAAAAGTAGTTCTAAACTCCTTGTGTGAGCCCTCTATAGATATCTACAGATGGTCAGGGTGGTGAGGATGTGTGAAATTTCACCAGTGCATGTGAAGTGAAAGTGATCCGTTGGCGCTCCAGTGCAGAAACTTTCAGGGGAAGCCAGAGTCCGGAGGTGTGAAATTAGTTTGACTAATGCCTGCCTCCCTGGTCGTACGGCCAGCCGAAAAAAAGGAGTTCATCGAATCGTTGTTACATTCATGGGAGGGGTGGCATTGTCTGACTGTGTTTATTACATCGATAGGTGGGGCTAAGGGTGGAAGCAAAGGGTTTTTCAAACCTTTCTGTTTTTTGATAGGTTAAAGAGGGTTACTATGAAATGCAAGTCCTGGAGGCAATTGATAAATCAGACTGACGCACGTCATCATCAGAGACTCGAAGATACGGTAGCTTGAGAGGTGTGAAGTTTTCACCACTACTTGCACACCGGACAAGCAACACTTGATCTCACTGGCTGAGAGTCTGAACCCCCCTCCCAATCTCCCCCTAAAATCCCTTGTCTAAGACGGAAAATTACTAAGACTGACTTCTTCCTGGCTCCCTTGCGATTCCGTCTAAACAGGTTCGACAGCATTGGGATGCCAATGGCCAGCGCATAATGCAACTGCAAGTCTACCAAGTACGTGTAGTTGTATATAATGTGTGTATGTCAAACTGACCTGTACATTACTTCCTCAGATTATACTCTGAAGTCCTCAGGGGCATTAAAATTTCATATCGCATTCCGTGCGCAAACAAAAGATCTAATTGCAAAGTGTAGTAAATTAATACATTAATACCCTCTGCACACTGCCATTATAAAAATATAGTCGGGGATGTCTTGGGATTTTCTTTATGAAGGACATGGAGGGGCAAAAGCTGCCATTTTTTTTTTACATTTTGCTCCGACAACACACATGTTTAATTTTGGAGGATATGTTCAAATTAGGCCAAAATGGTAGGTATCTTTTGCCCCTCCTTAGAAGAAAATCTGACTGACTCCTACTCAATTCTATTCGTTATTCGACCGACTGAGTTTGATTGGCAGAGTGCACTAGGCTTAGATATCACCAGACTTTTGAATATCTGTTTTCATTATCGAATTGACCTGACAATGACAAAAAAGTCAAATATTACTTGAGTAAGGAGTATTTTTATTAATTTTTTCCAAAATGTCTGTTTTCATTATCGAATTGACCTGACAAGGACTAGGAAATCAAACATTGCTTGACTTAGGAGTAATTTTTATCAATTTGTTCCAAAGTAGTAGCTTTTGTCCCTCCATGAAAGAGTCTGGTCGTCCTCAAATTATTATACCATATCAAATGAGGATTTGACGTAACTTTCTGCTGTGTGCACTGGTGTAACTGTAACACCAGCGATGTAAGGAAACAGGTGTTGTTCTCTGACGAGGTTACAGTGCAGGTTTCCTTAAAAATACCGGGTGTCCATTCCGGATGGAGTCGGGTCAGGTCGGGATGATTGCCCGACTCGTTGCCTGAAAACAAACGCGTTCGTTTTTTAGGCGACGAGTCGGGCGCCATCGGCTTGTGCCACAATAGCCGTTTTGTGTCTTGAGTGTGGCTAGCAAACCGACCCCACCCGACCCGATTCCCCCATGGGCACCCCGTATTATACCTTGAGCCATCCGTAATTGTACCAATAATACGTATGAAGGGTTCTAGTTGTTTGTTTTTGAAATCCCAAAAACACAGTAAAACTATTTAAGAGACAATACTCCCGAGTTTAACGAACCAGTCTCCGATTGAATCAAATACATGGAGAGACTTAAATAAATTGGAAAACTTTAGACTCCCCTCCCCCCACCCCCATCCCGCGGGGAGAGGTTGGGGGGGGGGGGTTCAAACCAGGGTCGCCCCCACCCAAAGCACAGCAACTGAGCTATCGATGCACGCACAATAAACCAATGGCTCCTTACTTTTTTCCGATTCCATGTAAGTTATTGTAAGCTCATATTTCGTCTGTTACGTCGTGTCTTTTCTTCTCATAGTTTATTTACAACTAATGTCGGTTAATACTTCTTCTACCTTGCTTCGTTTAACCAAAAATATTTTGAAGGACTGTGAACGGTTAAAAAGCATACAGCCAAAATTCTGGTTTCAATCAGGGTCACAATTTGTCCTCTTGCGACAGTCGAGAGACTGCTGATAACCTACAGTGATATGAGAAATTCATACAGCATGGTTTCACTTGCGCTCAGCCATTCAGTTATACATGATGTAGAACGGCACTCTATCTAATCGTTAGTTACTGTTTTTTTTTCGAACCATTTGTAGATGTTTACACGCATGTGTATCTGTTTATAATATTTTAGCATCAAATTGCTGGCTTTTGTCATCAGCCGCAGCGTGAGAAAGATGCCCTCCATGCCAGAGGTAGCAAGTCGGCACCCCAGGTAGTTTAGTACGCTTGATGAATCTCCAGGCAGCTCCAGGCACATTCTGACAGTGATTGACGAGCACTGTTCTTAGGCCCACTTTTATCCACCTCCGATATCATATATAAATTAACCGCAAAAGCACATTCGGCTGTACACGCTCGCTCTATCTCGATCTCCAATGCCCGCTTCTGAGAAATATTGCAACGGATAACTTCAGCGTTCCACTGTAAATGTGAGGTACAGGAGGTAGGCTACAGTAATGAATATTTTTTATTAGACAAATTGTAGTGACTTTGACCTACGAATATATGACAATTCACACAAACGGCATAATAATATATACATATTAATTAATTAATATATATTTTTTGTCGCAGTGGACGACCTGACTCGTGTGCGCGCGGATAAACTGCAGTATACTAATATCTTTTGTTCCCAGCCAAATTTGACTGATTTTTGCATTGAAATATGAAATCTCGCGAATTGAAAAAAAAGGAAAAGATAAAGCACATATTATATAGGCCTACACGAATTTTAAATGAATAAACAAGCAACAACTGGAATAATAAATATACAATAGAAAATCAAACAAAGTTAATAAACTATTGAACTGAAAGAAAAAAGATAAATGAAATGATAGTCATGTGTTAAAAAAGGAGTATCCTAAGGGTTAAATTTTGACGGAGGTTTGCTGTTTGAGAAACGGAAAAACCTGCTTGTCACGCCACTCAAACCGCGTTTTATTGATCGATATAATTCACGATGAACAGTTGCCAATTGATTGGTTTATTCTTTGATTATGCATACATCTTCATTCTTGATGCCCAGGTTTCAGCTGTTCAGTAGTGTACTATTCCTAAGTAAGTCTTTCTTCTCTTAGCAAAATTTTTTGTTACCTTTCGATGAGTTTCACACCTGTTTCTATTTCTTTAATCTGATTTCATTTCTTTTTTTTTATGTCCTCAGGTTTTAATGTTTCGATCTGATGCCAGGAAGAAGTTGCTAAAGTCGTAGTTTGTGTAATTTTGTGGCTCAGAACAAAGCAACGTTCTTGCATCTTCGGGCATAGACAGACTAAGACTACATGTTTGTTTGTTTACAAAAAAAAAAGAAAAAAAGAAAGAATCCAACCTTATTCCCTAACCCAGGACGTCGTTTTTTTGGCACCCTAAACTGTGATTGAGTCTTTCTACACTCGGGTGAGGCTATCCTGTGAATTCCATCGCTTCACGTTGACTACGCTCGCCAGAGGAGTCCTGGGGGGCTGGCAGTCCGTCCCGCGACGACACATGGAACAGGAACTGTAATCAAGACGTACACAGGAGGCAGCTCAGCCGTGTTTTGTTACAAGAGTACTCAGTCTTGATTTATAAAGCCTTCCCCGACACGTTATACGTTGAGCTGACTTTGTATGGGAGAAGTTGGCTTATAGGCCTAATACCCGTATTTGGAGGGGGACAAAACCCCTCAGAAGCCGTGGTCAGTAGTGAGACCCTGTTTCACTTGTGAGAGTTCAAGAGGGAAAGAGAGAGACAGAGAGACCGAGGGATATTACGTTTTAAAAGAAGACGGCGTGTCGACGAAAAAGGACGAAAGGTGTAAAGCTTGGTGAGATTCAAACATGGCTGAACTGAAGGCTTATAAATCTACCACTGGGAAGGTGTCCACGGAAGGACTTGCTAATGGAAGTAAGTACATGTACACATATTGCGCATTACAATTATTATTACATACTCGTACTTTCACCCTTCGTGAACGAGATAGAGATACCGTTATCACCAACAGTGCCAGAAAGGGGTAATGAAAAATAATTGATTGTGTACGATATGATGATTTTGTTCGCCTCTTTTTTACAGTTTAAGTTTAAGGCTCTCACTCTCACTGTCATGACTGCGCTATAAATCAGTGACAGACTGTTCATTCTATCCGATTTTACAGTAAACTTTTACTTTCACTCCCGCACAGAGCCGCAGTGCTTTGAGAGTCAACCTGTATTAATTTTTGCCGCAGGTCACACATGTGTCCACGAAAACTGTCGCAAATCAATAATAAAAAAAAAAATTCCAAACCTAACTGCAAAACTTTAGTATTATTTTAATTATGGGGGAAAACATGGGGAGGGGGGGGGGGTTTGCCCATTGTAACCCAATTTACCTCCCAGTCATCCTGGAATCATAATAATGCCTTTTTAGAAACGAGCACGAAAAATCACACTGACCAAGTGGTCAATGATTTCTTAAAACATTGACCTGGTTCACCACATTTGCTTGTCAGCATTGACTACGCTTCCCCAAAACCTTCTTTTACGGGTTATTTTTAAGTAAATGTGGTGGACAGCTGCCTGAGAACAGCAGGGCGCTGAAAATAGACAGCTGAACCCACACTTCCAGCCTCATTCACTCATCTAGTCAGTGTGAATACCCCCCCCCCTCTCTCTCTCTCTCTCTCTCTCTCTCTCTCTCTCCCCTCTCCCTCCCTCCCCCTCTCCCTCCCTCATCCCGTTCTCTTCTTCTTTGTTTCCCACCCTCGGCTTTGCTCCCACTCCACCTCATTTTCCCTGTCTCGTTTGATTACTCTCCCATTTTCCTAGATCAGCATGCACAGAGGTTTACCGACCCACCCCCTTCCCCCTTTTCAAATGCAATTACACCTGTCCTGTTCAGAGACTCGGGTGGATCCTGTTATTGTCAGTCATTGGTTGTGCTTATTAGTAAGTTATTAGTATAATCTCTCTCTCTCTCTCTCTCTCTCTCTC